CATATACAGAACCCTCCATCCCAAAGAAGCTAAATACACATTTTTTCCAAATGTACATGGAACATTTTCAAATATTGACCACATGATAGGACACAAAACAAGCCTCAACAATTTCAAAAAAATTGAAATCATACCAACATTTTCTTGGATCACAAGGGACTGAAACTAGAAACCAACCCCAAGGAAAAACCCCAAAACACTCAAATTCATGGAGATTAAATAGCATGCTATTAAAAACAATGAATGGGTCAAGAATGATATTAGGGAAGAAATCAAAAGGTTTCTGGAAACAAATGAAAACGAACTCACAACAACCCAAAACTTATGGGACACAGCCAAGGCAGTCCTGGGAGGGAAGTTCATAGTGATACAGGCCCACCTAAAAAAGTAAGAAACATTTCAAACAAACAACCTAACCCTATGTCTACAAGAACTCGAGGAACAACAACAAAGACAGCCCAGAGCAAGCAGAAGGAAGGAAATAACCAAGATCAGAGCAGAATTAAATGACACAGAGACTAAAAGCCCAATTCTAAAGATCAATGAATCCAAGAGCTGGTTCTTTTAAAAGATAAACAAAATCGACAAGCCTTTAAGCAGACTCATCAAGAAAAAAAGAGAGAAAACCCAAATAAACACAATCAGAAATGAAAGAGGAGAGATTACAACAGATACCACAGAAATACAAAGGATTGTAAGAAATTACTACGAAGAACTGTATGCCAAGAAATTTGAAAACCTAGATGAAATGGACAAATTTCTAGAAAAATATAATCTTCCAAAACTCAATAAAAAAGAAGCAGAAAGCCTGAACAAACCAATAACAGCAAAAGAAATTGAAGCAGTAATCAAAAAACTCCCAACACACAAAAGCCCGGGACCAGATGGTTTCACAGGAGAATTGTACAAAGCATTTAAGGAAGAGCTAACCCCTATCCTTCACAGACTATTTCAAAAAAATCCAAAGATGGAAGACTCCCAAACTCTTTTTATGAGGCCAACATCATCCTAATTCCAAAACCAGATAAAGACACAACAAAGAAAGAAAATTTCAGGCCAATATTGTTGATGAACATTGACGCTAAAATCCTCAACAAGATACTGGCAAACCGCATCCAACAGTACCGTAAGAAGATCATACACCATGACCAAGTGGGATTCATTCCAGGTATGCAAGGATGGTTCAATATTCGCAAATCAGTAAATGTAATACATCACATAAACAAAAGCAAAGACAAAAACCACATGATCATATCAATAGATGCAGAAAAAGCATTTGATAAGGTACAGCACCCCTTTATGATAAAAACACTCAGCAAAGTGGGAATAGAGGGAGCATTCCTCAACATAATAAAGGCCATATATGAGAGACCTACAGCCAACATCATACTCAATGGGCAAAAATTAAAATCTTTTCCACTAAGAACAGGAACAAGACAAGGATGTCCACTTTCACCACTTCTATTCAATATAGTACTGGAAGTTTTAGCCACAGCAATCAGACAAGAAAAAGAAAAGGAATCCAAATCGGAAAGGAGGAAACAAAACTGTCACTGTTTGCAGATGACATGATAGTGTACACAGAAAATCCTATAGACTCCACCAAAAAACTGCTTGACCTAATAAATGAATTTGGCAAAACAGCAGGATACAAAGTCAATATCCAGAAATCAAAGGCATTTCTGTACACCAACAATGAAACAGCAGAAGCAGAAATCAAGAAAAAAAATTCCATTTGAAATAGCAAAAAGAAAAATAAAATACCTAGGAATAAACCTAACCAAAGAGGTAAAAGACCTGTATTCAGAAAACTACATAACACTGAGGAGAGAAATCAAGGAAGACACAAACAAATGGAAACATATACCGTGTTCATGGATTAGAAGAATTAGTATCATCAAAATGTCCATACTACCAAAAGCAATTTACACATTCAATGCAATACCTATTAAAGTACCAATGGCTTATTTCAGAGACATAGAACAAACACTTCAACAATTTATATGGAACCATAAACGACCCCGAATAGCTGCTGCAATTTTGAGAAAGAAGAGTAAAATAGGAGGGATCACAATACCTGACACTAAACTATACTACAAGGCCACTGTAATCAAAACAGCCTGGTACTGGCATAAAAACAGGCACATGGACCAATGGAACAGAACAGAGAGCCCAGAAATAAACCCAAGTCTCTACGGTCAATTAATATTTAACAAAGGAAGCAGCAACATAAAATGGAATAAAAATAGCCTCTTCAACAAATGGTGTTGGGAGAACTGGACAGCTACATGCAAAAAAAATGAAACTCGAGCACCAACTTACACCTTATACAAAAATAAATTCAAGGTGGATAAAAGACTTAAATATAAACCGTGACACCATTAAAGTCCTAGAAGAGAATGTAGGCAGGAAAGTCTCAGATATTTCACGCAGGAACTTTTTTACTGACATGTCTCCTAGAGCAAGGGACATAAAGGAAAGAATAAACAAATGGGACCTCATCAAAATAAAAAGCTTTTTCACAGCTAAAGAAAACAGTATTAAAATAAAAAGAGAACCAACTGTATGGGAAAACATATTTGCCAATGATACCTCAGACAAGGGTTTAATCTCCAAAATATATAAAGAATTTACATGACTCCACTCTAAGAAGACAAGTAACCCAATTAAAAAATGGGCAAAGGACTTGAACAGGCACTTCTCCAAGGAGGACATACAGAAGATCCAAAGACACATGAAACTATGTTCAATATCGCTAGCTACCAGAGATATGCAAATTAAAACCATAATGAGATACCACTTCACACTCATCAGAATGGCCATCATAAACAAAGCAACTAACAACAAGTGTTGGAGAGGTTGTGGAGAAAAGGGGACCCTAGTGCACTGTTGGTGGGACTGCAGACTGGTACAACCACTATGGAAAGCAGTATGGAACTTCCTCAGAAAACTAAAAAATGGATCTGCCTTTTGACCCTGCAATTCCACTGCTGGGACTATATCCTAAGAACACTGAAACACCAATACAAAAGAACCTTTGCACCCCGATGTTCATAGCAGCACAATTTACAATAGATAGGTGCTGGAAGCAACCTAGATGCCCATCAGTAAATGAATGGATCAAAAAACTATGGTACATTTACACAATGGAATTCTATGCAGCAGAAAGAAAGAAGGAGCTCCTACCCTTTGCAACAGCATGGATGGAGCTGGAAAGCATTATGCTAAAGCGAAACAAGCCAGGCAGTGAAAGACAAATACCACATGATATCACCTTTAACAGGAACCTAAACAACAAAACAAAGAAACAAGCAAAATATAACCAAAGACACTGAAATAGGGGACAGACTGACAGTGACCAGAGGGGAGAGAAGAGGGAATTTCAGGGGAGAATGGGTAGGGTTTACAGGAACAAACTTGGAGGACACATGGACAAAAACTAGGGGTGGGGGGTAATGGGGGGGAAGAGGGGAGGGTTGGGTGGGTGGGCTGGAATGGGAGTAAGTGAGAGAAAACTGTACTTGAACAATGATTAAAATAAAATTAAAAAAAGAGATTTCAAAGTTGTAATATTGGCATAAAAATACTCAGCATCATTAGTACTGAGGGAAATGATCATTAAAACCATAATGAGATGCAATTTCACAGACACTAGGATGACGGTAAAAAAGACAGATAATAACAAGTGTTAGTGAGAATGGAAAGTCACTGGACCTCTTATATATTGCTGGTGGGAATGTAGTCACTTTAGAAAACAGTTTTGGCAGTTTGCTAAAAAATTAAACACAAATTTGCTAAATGATCCAGCAATTCCACTCCTTGGTATCTACTTAAGAAAAATGAAAATATATATCCACACAAAGACTTACATACAAATGTTCCTAGCAGCATTATTCTTAAGAGCCAAAAAGTGAAAACAACTCAAATATTCATCAACTGGTGAATGAATTAATAAAATATGGTAATAGCCATACAATGCAATAATATAATAATATTTATCAACAATAAAAATACTTCTAGCCCTGGCTGGCGTGGCTCAGTGGATTCAGTTCTGGACTGTGGACCAAAGTTGTTGGTTCGATTCCCAGTCAGGGCACATGCCTGGGTTGCAGGTCAGGTCCCCAGTAGGGGGCGTGAAAGAGGAAACCACATATTGATGTTTCTCTCCCTCACTTTCTCCATCTCTTCCCCCTCTCTCTAAAAATAAATAAAATCTTAAAAAAAAATAAAACCTTTAAAAAATACTTATAGCTACAATATAGATGAACCTGAAAATGTTATACTGAAAGAAGACACAAAAAATTGCATATTATATTTCATTTATTTATGTCCATTCATTTATCTATGTCCAGAAAAGGTAAATCTTAGAAACAGTGATTGAAAAGGACACAAAATCTTTTGAGGTCAAGAAAATGTTCTGAAATCAAATTATGTAGGTATTTGCAAAACTCTATAAATTTGATATAAATCACTGAATTATAAACTTAAAATGAGTACATTTTATGTTATGTAAATTATACCTCAATTAAGTTGTTAAAAATATGTTCAATGAAAAAAGCAAGTTGTCTGATCTATGACAAGTGGGGTACCATTATGTAAAATCTAAAATAATAGTATAATGTTGTGGGCATACATACAAGGTAGGGCAAAAGTGAGTTTACAGTTATTCGTATGGATAAGAATACAATAATTAATAAATATAGTAATATATAAGATTATACTGTTTCTTGTACTCACAACTGTACACCTACTTTAGTCCCATGCTATATATAAAAATATATAAAATCATACAGGGTAACAGTTTGCACCAACTACAGAATAGTGCTTACCTACAGAGATGAAAAAAAGTAAATGAATGGGAGCGAGGTTTTTGCTATATCAATGATGTTTATTTCTTAGGGGGGGGGAAAAAAGAGAAAAACTTAGCAAACCCAACCAAATACTAATATATTATGCAGTTCATTAGGGTATTCTCTGCAAGCCTGAAAAGAAAACCTCACCTTTGCTCAATTCTGTGTCTTTGTGGACTTCTACCATATTAGCTGGTGTACAATGAAGAATTTCAGGAGACAGAACCTCAGAGTGCAATGTTAACTCAGCAGAGAACTCCTGGGATCCATCGTTGTAGTCTACAGATCCTGATAACGTGCTGCTTAATTAAAACACATCCTTTATGATAAACTGGATAACAAAGCAGTAAAATAGTTCTAAGATCTTTAATAAATAAACACTTACACAGAGAAATCATTCTGTTTGAGAATTTCCTGAAGTCTCTTCTGAAATTTTTTTTCACTTTCTGTTGCTGGCACAAACCTGCGATCTTTGAATTTTAAAAGTGCATTAAGAAAAATGTAGATAGCAAATGAATGAAATCTTTTCTTTTCTCCTAAAAATAGCTTTTAAAATAGCAATTTCCTATCCTCTTGACACATATAACACCACCTAAAAGTAGTTCTTATTATAAAAACAAACAAAAGAGAAATGGTTGTTACTAAAGCTATATAATTAAGCACTTAAAGTCAGTTCAAGATTAAGTTCTGCAATTATAACTTAAATCTAACACAGAAAAACACTGTTCTCTACATAGACATGTACCATACACTGAAACTAGAAATTTTCCCTTATAAAATATTTCTATTTTAAAAGGCACTGAAAATTTATCAAAGTATGCACTCAAAATTTATGAAAGCATTTTTAGTGTCCAAGACACTGTAATAAAATTTTGAAATTTTGATTGGACTTCAGTATAGGCTTACTACTGTATTTCAAATACTTTTGCCCTGTGAATTGTCTTTTATTCTTTTATCTTTAATTTAATATTTTTGTTGTGTCCATGGCATTTATTTAAGCCCCCTCAAATCCTTTTTGAAGTAGCAGGGTTTTATAATAAACAAAATGAGTACTTTCTTCAGAGGTCCAGAAGATGATGATCAAAGTGAGAGTTTGTATGATATACTGGGATAATAATTTGGGGCCATATTTCATGGGTACATTTTCAAAGCTTAATAAATAGTGTTTCCAAGTTGGGATTCATAATCTTCTATGAGTATTCTGTAGCTCATTTAGAAATACAGAAGGTTAAAGCATACTAGAGAATGAAAAAAGGAGCAAAAATGTGACACAGGAGGACATAGGTATGGTAAAAACCAAGGACAACGAAGACACCAAATTTCTTATGGGAAAACAGACAATGAGTGACTCTGAAGGTAACAAATTCCTGGTTTGGAGCAATGACAATAGAAGAAACATCTAGAAAATTTGAAGGTAACTTAAAAAGTAGATTTTAAGGTCAAGGTAAAAACTCAATGACTTAACCTTTTCTATTAAAATATCTTGTTTAAAAATCATTAGAGTATTACTTGGTTTATACCTTGTGATTCAGGTTGGCTAATTTGAGAAGTTTCATTTCTGTTTCTTCGCCGTTGCTTTTCATCTTCCCATATAGCCTGCAGACCAGGGTTTCCACCAATTTGAGCTGTAATCACAAGAATACTTCACTACTACAAGGTTAGAGTAAAAAATACTTGCTTAAAAAAAGAAATCCTAACTTTTAGAAAAATAAATACCATCTCTTAAGAAAAACAAAGCAGACAAGCTATCCCAACCTACATTTCTTATGCTACTTTGTTTTTAGTTCTCTTCCCAGTGGTTCTCAAAAACCCAACAAGTGAATAAGATTCAAACATTTGATGATAGCCAGTAACCTACGACCTGGCACATACCCCAAATATTAGAAGTCAGATTATATTAATTTTTAAAATACTGGCTAATTTACTTGTAACATTTACTGTAGGTCCATGACTGTGCAAACATACCCATATGAATGAAAATACAAATAAAGAATAATCTCATCAGAGGTACAGAAGCAATTGTACCTCTTCGTAACATTTGATATTCTCCTTCTATAACATCTTACATCTCTCATAATGTTTTCTTCCCTATTATTTCACTCTACTTTGGTCATTAATTTTTACAAATAAAAAGTTATATTAAGAATAACTATATATACACACACACACACATATATATACCTTCAATGTCCAGCCGATTTAAGATATCAGCAGCTACAGCATCTACTTCTAATTCACATGTACTCTGTGGTTCAACACCTTCCAGTATTAATGAGCTGTATTAAAAACATACCAAAAAAATCACAGTAATTATGTAAGAGCAAATTTTCTAAAAATATTTTCTATACAATTTTTTATGTTTAGGTGGTAAGGAGAAAAGTCAGTGATATATTAATTCACAAGTATTCATGACATAATCGATATTGTATATATACGTATAAAAAATAGAAAACAGGAAGAGAAAAATATAAAAAATACTAGTATATATACAACTCAGTTGAGATCCATTTGCAGTACATTCTATACATTTAGGTTCATTATATTTTATATATAAGGAATGTACAACATTTCAGCATGTGGGCCATATCCAGTACAGAATGGGCTAACAGCGGGTAACTCAGAGATGTATCAAAAACCATACAGATATGTAATCATTTGCCCAGAGGCATCTTTCTCAGCAATCACAGATTGTTTAAAAACTAAGGAGATGGAGATGGGCATGGTAGGGGGAAAATAGAGACAATTGTACTTGAACAATAATAAAAAAAAATGAGGAGAGAATATGCAACAAGAGATGAGGGGAGGTGAGTACACTGAAAAGTGCGCAAATGATACTATTCTCCCTGCCCCCAACTACTACTAAGCTGGAGAATGCTTTAAAATTCTCCCTAACTACAGATTTGAGAAACTGTGTTCAATAGTAGGATCATAGCTAGGAAATGTAATACCACAAAGTCATTAATTTTTATGAGAACTACAGAGGGCTGTTCCTGCTAATGTGCTTTGACTCAAAAGTTTGTTTTTTTAATCAGAGCCACAAAAAAAGATTAGGACATTAATAACTGTTCCTGCTTGACAGAATAAACATACAAGTATCTTCTAGGGTGAATCTCACTCATTCCAAAATTTAGATGTCCTACCAGTACAGACATCAAATGAAAATGAGAGAACCATGATTTTACTAGAATGTGGATGATGGCAGATTTCATTCACATTTGTATTTGATTTTTTTTTAATGTTTTAGAAGAAATATATTAGCAAAACCTCATTTTCCATAGTCTGTCCCTAAGAAAATTTTGATGAAACATTAGAAATTAATGGTAAACCACAGAATTTTTACAATTCAAATACATATACATGTATATACAGATAAAACATAAAACATATCTTTATCATTGATAGAAAAGAAACATATTAGCCAACCTATCACTATGTACCCATTTCACTTTCAAAAAACTAATTCCTCAATGCTATCTTCTTCATTCATATAATTTAACAAAATCAATTTTGCCATAAAATAACGTACCAGATAAAACAGTTTAGGGTCAACAATTTTCTCCTTATACTAAAAAACTTCACAAGTTTTGAAAGAATTATATTGTGAATTTCAAAGGTAAATTTTGAAGGAGTAACACATCTATGACAAAGGATGGAAACAATAAAGTCAAAAAATATAATCTCATAGTAGAAATTTACAGTGATTTCTTGCCCTTAATAAAAAGCTATTTTAGACATTCAGAACAGGTGATCCCAGGGAAATGAAATAGTTTTCAGAATTAAAATTTTCCAGTACACAGAAACAGTGAGTAAAAAATTTGAGTAAGCAAATACATTCATTTTAAGCCATGAAAGATAAGAAAGAACTATGGTAGACAACTGTACCTCTCTGAACACTTCTGTTCATAACTTAACAAAACAGTCCTACTAATTAGAATCAGTGTTGATGGAGCTCAGACATCTGTAATTTAAAAAATTTCTTCAGATCATTCTGATGAGCAGCCAGGGTTGAGATAACTGTAGAAGATTCCATTTTTGTGGGTTCAACACTCCAGCCAATGATCCTGAAGGTCTATGACATGTGGTAATTGGCAATGAGCTAGTAAGCAAGGTTAGTAGAGCTGCCAACTCAGCACTCTCACCTCATTACAGGTTTGGTGCTCTATGTTATGATCCTTGTAATAATGTTTGTGAAAGGACATAAAACATTTGTTAAAAAAAGGTAACGATAAGAAGGTGCTAGCACTGGAGATAGAAATAAGACTAATAAAATCTAAAAGTAATGATTTATGGCAATTTTTTTGACATTATATTATCTGCACTTTATGAAATTATGGATTTTCACATTTAATACAATAAAAGCACCCCCAAAACACAAAATATAGGTTAATATGAGACAAAAATATGTAGCTATCCTATATTTAAGTTCTAATTTTGAGTACCTTGTCTAATTTTACTGGTTTGTTTATTTATATCTTTGCTTATAATGCATCAACTCTTAATAAAAATCTCCTTAAAAACATTCTAAAATTCAAACTTTTCAATATAACACACAGGGTTTCCCCAAACTCACTATCAGTGAAACTTTACTACAATCTTATAACCTAACCATAAAAGATGTATGTTCTTTTTTTTTTTTAATTTAAAGATTTTTATTTATTTATTTTTAGAGAGAAGGGAAGGGATGGAGGAAGAGAGGAAGAGAAACATTGATATGTAGGAGAAACATCATCTATCTGTTGCCTCTCTCATGCCCTCAACAGGGACCTGGCTTGCAACCCAGGCATGTGCCCTGACTGGGAATTAAACCAGTGATCTTTTGGTTCACAGGCTGGCACTCAATCCACTGAGCCACACCAGCCAGGGCAAGATGTATGTTCAAAAAGGGCTTGAAATACATATAAACTTGGACTTGAGCTTGAATTAAAAAGTTACTAAATGTACAACTTTGAAAACCAAGGGATCTAGAGAATAGATACAATCCTCGGATTAAGTTGATTTGTTCCCATTTTAGAGAGAGAGAGGGACAGTATCACAGGTATAAAAGAATGAGACAAATATCTTGTTGGTTACTTTGCTCTGGACTCATTAGAACTGATGTGGTAAATAATATTCTCTCTTAAACTTAATACCATTTCAACATGATTATAAAAACAACTCTGCTGTATCTGAGAAGGAACCAAGAAGTGCAAAGGAATATATGTGTATGTGTACGTGTGTGTTTATAAACAGTCTGTTTACTGTAGTAAATTTAGAAATTTAAAGGGTTATTTTTACTAAAAATATTTACTATTTAGGTTTTCAATTGATATTTTATTATGTGATTTTTACTTGACAAGTTACAGGGTATCAATCTAGAATACACAATGAAGATAAATGTTGGAGGGAAGTATAAAAATTTACATTCAGAGACCTTTTATTAATTAAGTGATAATTAGGTATACTGTCATGGTCTCTTTTTAAAATGTATGATTCTGTATAAAATACTAATGTTAAAATTTGCTTTTTTGATAAATTTATATATTAAAAACACCAAATATAAGGTTAACATTAAATGATGGTAACCACTAATTTCTGAATACAGCCAGATATATGTAAATAAATTTTCTTCTTTACAACATTAACTAACCTTGGTATTTCATTTTCTTCCCACCGAAACAAGGTACCAGTAAGAGAATTTCCTGGTAGCCGACCCTTGTAAGATCCAGTTGCATGCAATGAATCACCTGGGAATAGAAAAGTAAAAGGGAAAAATTTTAATTTTAATTTGCATATAATTACTCTTTAAGTAAATATATAACCTATATGACTAGTTCCTAAAAAATTCATACATCTGTAGGAATGTATATGCACAGTTGAGAGTAAAGGTTCCAAACTAAGAAGGGAAAGAAATGTTTATGCTACATGCTCATGAGAGAGAAATGGCTGCAAGACTTTCATACTAGAATAAAAGGAATATACTTAAATGGGCTATTCCAATAGGTATGCTTAAAATGTAATTTTATAAATAAAGATGGATTAAAATTTTTTATAGACTTTAATCCAAATTCCTAGGATATTCTGTATAAGCCTTAATTAAAATTCTAGTGGATATCAGATTCCAGATAAAATTCAAAACATACTTTAATACTAATCCCTGAAAAGAAAAAAAAAGAAAGAAAGAAATACACAATGCATTCCAGAAGTAATGGCAGTACAACAGTGAGCGGAAACCTGCGGTATATGCAAAAACAATCTGACCAACAGCTGAAAAGGTGACTTGCTTGCTTAGTTGTCCCAGTTTCAGAAAGTGAGTCCTAGGGTCATGCTTCAGAAGTAGTCTCTAAATTTTAGCAATTTTTCTGTGATCTCTTATGGAAATTTAAATTTTCAGATAAGAGAAAGCTTGAATCCTGACATTATGAAAAATATTAAATTTACAATCCTTTCCAGCTAAATGTAATACTTTGATTTTATTTGGCTGGCTTGATCACAAAATATTATAATTAGACTAAGATCGGGTATTACCATCTTTGTTATTTCAACGAAACACGTATCTTCACAACAGGTAACTAATTCTCCCCTATAGTTTATGTATATTTTAGCATATTTCCCCTAAAGAACATGGAAACTCATATACATATTACATATAATAAATATATAATTTCTTTTCAACGGTGAATGTCAAAAAATACAATATAAAATGCCTCTGTGGTATTCAGAATATTTACATAAGTACTTCTATATACTTCACCTTAACAAATATGGCAATTAGTAATTTGTATTTCATTTGAAAACTGGTTATATAACTGAATACTGAGACAGAATTATATATGCATATATAATATTAAAATTTCTAACTTTTTCACTTTTGAATTTACCTCAATTTTGAAAGTAAAAATACATTATGTATATATTAACTTGTCTTATAAGATAAAATGTTGTTATGCATATATATAATATAAATATTAATTTGCCATTAAGTTTACTGGCAGTTTAACTGTGATATGTTTGAAATAACATGACAAAATAAAATACAAAAACGGATTCATCTATTCTATGATTTTAGTGTAACCTATTATCTTGCACAAAACAAATAAAACAAAAACCTGAGGGCTCTTTAGTATAATGAATTAAGGTATAAATTTTATTTCATCATACTTGCAATTTCCCTGCTTTTAATTTCTCCCAACTAAATTTCATATATTTCTGCCTTCAGATTATAAAAATTTTCCATAGTTAAAAAAAGAGAACCCTTCTAATGATCATTCCAATACTTATCTGGCTTTTATAACTAAAATAAATGGCTTACACATATTTGTTTATTTAAAATTTTTTCATGCTTTTCACCTATTGGAAACAAACTTTTGTGGGGTTTCTATTATAGGTATTGAGAATGTTTTAAATTTGTTTCAAAATCCTAAAACCACTGAATTTTTCATTTTAAATGAGTGAATTGTGTGGTATATGAATCATACCTCAATAAAGCTGTTACAAAAAAATTTCAATTGAGATTCTTTTCCTAATAAACTCTAATACCATTTTGTATATTTTATTCTTTATCCACTCAGCAATTATACAATATTAATACATGTTACTTTATAAATCATCAATTACACAACCTTGTTTTCATGCTTTAATTTGAATTGAAAAATTAACCTTACTTTTCCTTCTTGCTTTTCGGAACTTGACAGCAGCCAGATTTATTAAATTCATTCCATATAGATTGTAGTCAATGAAGAGCTGCAGGAGGTAGGGAATATGCGCTTCATGAGGCTGAAAAAATTTATTCATTATGGCTCCACTTTGCAAGAGTTCACATATCCTAAATTAGGAAAAAAATTATATAATAAAATTATGTTTCCTAGGAAGTTAAGTGAAATGATTATACTAATAGAGAATAAAACATCATATTGGCATTCAAATTTTAACTTCAATTTACTGGAAATTTGTATTTTGTAAGAAATTAAAAGCTTAAATCAAATTATAGAGTAGGCTGCATGCTCTGAAAGTGAGGAAAACCTTAGATGAAAAGTATTTTTTTCCATTTTTAAAAATGTTTGATTTTTAGAGAGAAGAAGGTAGATGGAGGGGGGAATAGAGAGAGAGGGAGGGAGGGAGAGGGAGAGCAAAAGACAGAGAGAGCAAAAGACAGAGAGAGAAACATCGATTGTTGGGCTCCTATATGCACCCTACCTGGGGACTAAACCTGCAACCTACGTATGTGCCCTGACTGGGAATCGAACCCCCAACCCTTTGGTGTACGGGATGGAGCTCCAACCAAATGAGCCACACCAGCCAGGGCAAGAGTATTTTGACTTTTAAACCTAGTTTAATACTAACTATTGGGTTGACCAAAAAGTCCATATGGTTTTCTCTGTAAAATAAAAGACACATTTTTCATTTTCACCAATAACTTTATTGATTTGAGTAATTTGCGTATGTCGGCTATACCCACTTGGTATAAGCCTGAATGTTCTCAATTAATGTCTTGATTTGATCACTACCAACTTCAACTGGTCTACCAGACCATGGAGCATCGTTTAGAGAGAAATCTTCAGCATGAAACTTTGCAACCCACTTTTGACTCATTCCATTAATCACAGCACCTTCTCTACATGCTGCATAAATGTTTTTTTGCATTTCAGTTGTTTTTACCTTTCTTGAAATAATAAAGCATAATATGCAGAAAATGTTGATTATTTTCCATCTTTGATATTAAAATGGCTACATAAAAATTCACCAATTTTGGTAAGTTTTTTTAAAATGCACACTGACAGGACAGTTGTCACAATATGATCTAACAAAATTATTTTGAATGAAGTTAAAGACAACTAAGCACTACTAGAGCCATCTTATGGAAAAAAAACATACAAACTTTTTGGCTAATCCATTATTTTGGAAAAGACAAAATGTCAAGAAGGTTTTTAAAGTAAAATTTTTCTTTTAAAAATTCAGAAAATTTTTTGAAAAGCATAAAGGTGAAATGACCAAATTAGCTAGAGAATGCACAACACTGGTGAGTGAGAGGCTATTGTGGAAAAACTAAGATGATGGTAGTTTTAATAAGATTTAAAAAAGTGTTGATTCAGGAGATATACTAGAAATACATAAGTCAGGACTTGATGGCTAACTAGATATGGAGGATAAGGCAGAATATATGTTATGGAGCTGACTATAACACCTAGATTTCTTGCTTAAGCAGCTAGTTGGTGGTGTTGCATTTATTGAAATAGAAAGGAATGGAAGAAAACAGCCTTTTGGGGGGAATTTTTTTTTGAGGAAAAATAAAGATAAACTGAGTTTTAGACATACTGGGGTTTAGGTATAATGAGGTAAGTCAGGTAGATTTTTAAGAATATATTAAAAATAAATGACAATGGAGATGAAGATAATTTTATTAACACAGCAAAGGCAGGTAAGATATTTTTAAGCAGTATGTATTGGATACTGTATTAAGTGCCTTTAATATTTAATCTCAAGTAATCCTCACTACAAACTGATGGTACTATTATCTCTATTTTAAAAACAGAGAAACTGAGTCTTAGAACCCCAAGGAACAATCACAAATGTTAAAAAACAAACCAACAAAGTGGCATAGATATAAACTGATCAGAGAAGTAAGAGAAAAACAAGGATAACATTGGGATTATATAAACATTTGGGATTATTTTAAGGTAGTGTAAGAACTGACATGAGGTCAAGGGAAAGGACAAAAAGGTGTTAATTTGATTTAACAACATCAGTGAAAGCAATTTCAGAAGAATGGCTGGGGTGGAAGCCATACTGGAGTCAGCTGAAGAGTGACTGGGAGGTAAGAAATTGGATACACAAACAATCGATAAATCCTTCAGGGAGAATGGTTATGAGTACCAATGCGTGTGTCATGTGTGGGGAAAGGAGATGAGGAGAAGAGATGAAGAGAAGGACAAAGAGTGGATCTTGAGCTTTGGAGGTGAGGAAGAGAATCACTTTCACCGAAACAGGTAGTGAAAAGGAGAAAATGGATGTGAACAGAGTTTGAGGGTCTTCAATAGAAAATTAAGAGAGCTTTATTCCAGTGGTTCTGGAACTTTTCGGTTCCAGGAACTCTTTCACTCTTAAAAATTACTGACAGCACCAAAGAGCTTTTGTTTGTGATTTATATCCACTGATATTTACATCTTAAAAGTTAAAACTGAGAAATTTTAAAGAAACCTATCTACTAATTTAAAAATAATAAACCCATTATGTTAACATTATTTGCTTAAAAAACTGTATTTCCTAAAACAAAAAACAATTTAGTGAGAAAAGAGTAATTGTTTTACATGTTTGCAAACTTCTATTTTAGTACAAGATAGATAGATTCTCACAACTGCTTCTGCTCAACCTATTATGACATTTTGTCCAGCCTCACATAGATATGCAGTTGGAAAAAGGAAGAATCACTAAGCTTTACAGATTAATATTGATTTTCTTTGATACCATATGGAAAAGGAGTAGACTGATAGTTTCTCAAAAATTAGCAACAATGTGAAATTTGAAACTATACCAACAATTTTGGCATTATGTTACATTAAAATCTACTGATCTATATTACACTTTAAATACTTTTACCCATGCAGGATTTTTTTTCTTTTTTTAAATATATTTTATTGATTACGCTATTACAGTTGTTCCATTTCCCCCCTTCACTCCCCTCCACCCTGTTCCCCCTCTCCCACCCACATTCACCCCCCTTTAGTTCATGTCCATGTGTCATACTTATGAGTTCTTTAGCTTCTACATTTCCCGTACTATTCTTGCCCTCCCCCATCTATTTTCAACCTACATTCTATGCTACTTATTCTCTGTACCTTCCCCCTCTCTCCTCTTCCCACCCGCCTGTTGCTAACCCTCCATGTGACCTCCATTTCTGTGGTTCTGTTCCTGTTCTAGTTGTTTGCTCAGTTTCTTTTGGTTTTGCTTTAGGTGTGATTGTTAATAATTGTGAGTTTGCTGTCTTTTTACTATACATGTTTTTTCTTTATCTTCTTTTCTTAGATAAGTCCCTTTAGCATTTCATAAAATAAGGGCTTGGTGATGATGAACTCCTTTAACTTGACCTTATCTGAGAAGCACTTTATCTGCCCTTCCATTCTAAATGAGAGCTTTGCTGGACAGAGCAATCTGGGATGCAGGTTCTTGTCTTTCATGACTTGGAATATTTCTTTCCAGTCCCTTCTTGCCTGTAAGGTCTCTTTGGAGAAATCAGCTGACAGTTTGATGGGAACTCCTTTGTAGGTTACTGTCCCCTTATCTCTTGCTGCTTCTAGGATTCTCTCCTTCGTTTTTACCTTGGCTAATGTAATTATGATGTGCCTTGGTGTGTTTCTTCTTGGGTCCAACTTCTTTGGGGCTCTCTGAGCTTCCTGGATTTCTTGGAAGACTATTATTTCCTTTGCCAGATTGGGGAAGTTCTCCTTTATTGTTTGTTCAAATATGTGCTCAATCTGTTGCTTTTCCCCTTCTGGCACCCCTATAATTCGGATGTTGGAATGTTTAAAGGTGTCCTGGATGCTCTTAAGCTTCTCCTCGATTTTTTGAATTCTTATTTCATCATGCTTTCCTGCTTGGTTGATTCTATCTTCCTTCTGGTCCACTGTATTGTTTTGAGACCCAGTTTCCTTTCCTTCACTATTGGCTCTCTTCCGTGTTATCTTCCTTCATCTCTTTTATGGTAACCTGCATCTTTTCATCTAATTTGCACCCAAAATCAACCAATTCCGTGAGCTTTCTGATCACCAGTGTTTTGAACTGTGCATCTGATAGATTGGCTATTTCTTGGTCGCTCAAAAGGATGAGTCCTGGGGGACTGATCTGCTCTGTTGGAAACATGTCTCTCCTTTTTTTTTCCTTTTTCTTCCTGTCTGGTCGCTCTTGTTACGGTGGGGGGCAAAGCCTTAGGTGTTCACCGGGGCTGGGCACCCCAGTCGCTAGATTGTGATGTTATATGTGGGGGCGGGAGCGGGAACGGGAGGGAATAATGGCGGTATTTCCGTTCTCCTGGGATCTCAGTCCCTTCTCTGGGATCCTGGGCTGTGAGCTCTGCCCTGGTCCACAATTGCCGCCTCACTGGGTCTGCCAGCCGCAGCTTGCGTACTCAGGGACCACCGCTGCATTCCCGCACGCTCCGAATGGCTCTCGCGCCAAGTTCGCACCAATTTTTCCCCGACATCTGCACGCCGCTGACCCGCGCCCACCAGGCTCGTCCTCTCCTACCAGTCTGGATGTACGGGTCTACTTCAACTTCTTGGCTGTCCGACTTCCATTCAGATAAATCCTCCGTCAGTTCTGGGTGTTATTCTGGCTGTAAATTGTTGTTGTTCTAATCTTGGTTGTGCGTGGAGGTACGGTGGGTCCACCTATTCCTCCATCTTGCCAGAAGTCCCCCTATGTAGGATTTTCTAACATCACACACTGGTCATTTTGAAAATACAGATCTACTAAGTTAAATAGATCTTCTAAATGTTGATATATGTCATTAAACAACATGAAAATTATTTGTTAGCATCATCTATCTTATAAGAAAAATCTCTCTTTTTAAAAACATTTTATTTACTTATTTTTAGAGAGAGGGGAAGGGAGGGAGAAAGAGAGGGAGAGACACATCAATGTGTGGTTGCCTCTCATGCACCCTGAACTGAGGACCTGGACTGCAACCCAGGTATGTGCCCTGACTAGGAAACGAACCGGTGACCTTTTGGTTCACAGACCAGTGCTCAATCTACTGAACCACACCACCCAGGGCAAATCTCTTAAGTATGGGAAGCTATTCAGGTTCACAATACTGGACTTCACAGTACT